CTGGGGAGGAAGGACGACCCTGGGGTACACACTGCCGCTGGGGAGGAAGGACGACACCTTTGGCTCCCTGGGACTCACACTGCCGCTGGGGAGGAAGGACAACACCTTCTGCTCCCTGGGGTACACACTGCCGCTGGGGAGGAAGGACGACACCTTTGGCTCCCTGGGACTCACACTGCCGCTGGGGAGGAAGGACAACACCTTCTGCTCCCTGGGGTACACACTGCCGCTGGGGAGGAAGGACAACACCTTTGGCTCCTTGGGACTCCTTTTTGGCCAAATCTACTAGAGATTGCAGGTATTCTCCTACTAGTTTCCTGGCGAGCTGCACGGCTCTCTCTGGGGGGTTGGGTCCAAAGGTAGACAGCACCTCATTAACCTCTCTGTCAAACTCCTCCTGAGTGTACTCATACGCCATGCTTGCTCTGCTGAAGTTAGTTCTTTTGTAGATAGGGTCGCTGTACGGGTACTAGCGTTGCCCTCAATTTGTAAATCCACGAACTGTGTCTCCGAGCTGCTTTACCTCGCACTAGGACGCCATCCCACCGCTGCCACCAATGTAATGGATCGCCTGGCACCCCGACTGGGTACCTCCGTTAAAGGATGCTCCTAGCACTTCCTGAGGACTCCAAGCACTGCAGCAGACACCACAACCACCGAACCGGAGAAGCATATGAATCCTCTCAAGCATATGAATGCTGTAGACAGCTGAATAGGAACCATACGAATAGGTTTACTCTCCTAGCAGTCAAACTGGAACAGCATACAATAAATCCTTCCCCCAATAATGAGACGACACATCACTTTGAGGGTTAAAACAGGAACTCCCTGTACTGTCACATACAGTCTCTTTTATTCCCAATCCACAAACATAGTACAGCCCACAGGGCGTTACAAAACAGCCAATCAATCCATACAATACACCCAGACACTCCCACAACACAAATCCATTATGCCCAAATCATGTCTTTAAAGGGCAATACATCCCAGGGGCCATAGTCACATGGCAGGAGGCTGGCAACCAGGCTTCTCCAGTGCATAGTGGCGAGGTTGGTTCCGCCACAGGTACCTTCAGCATGAAATGTACAAACCGCCGTTTAGTGAATGCTCCCCGTTCGCAATAATGTTGTCTGTAAGCGTATGCAATACAACCATGCGAACCAACAGCCCGGGAATACTCCAAACTCCCGAACGGTATATGTACAGCTCCTTCCCTTCACAAGCCACAAGTTCACGAACTGCCAATATCAGCCGAACGCCAATATCTTCCAAGCGGCAAATAATTCCAAAGAGCAGTCTCTAGTCGCCGGTAATAAATTCCCCCCAATAACGAGACCAAGCTCCGCATTGGGGTAAAACACGAACTGAGCTTACTGTGGGCTACCTACCCGTATTTATGCAGGTCTCCCACTTGGTGGACACTCCCCAAGGGGACCAAATGGGAGACTGGAATAGCAGATGGACATGGGGACATTTCAGACATACAATCACACAATATTCCCAGCATGCATCACAGTTTCCTCCCCTCTGCTCGGGAGATAATTGAGAAGTAATTCAATTATCTCCCAGAGCAGAGGCAAATCGCCATTTTAAATACAAGTCATAAAACACATAAAAATATGTAACTTTATAACTGCCGAACGTATTACATTCGTGTAACACATCCCCAGATAGCCTGGATCTGAGTGCATATTATTGGCGAATAGCGCTCAGATCCCAGGTTCACCAGCAGCACATTTCTCTTCTGGGTGGCCGTCGGCAGCTCCATTCGACAGAAAAGTACATTCATTTAAACAAGGCATACGAATGGGTAAATTCATGCAAACGGCAAAACAGACGAACACAGCAATCTTAGTTCATACGGATGGGTCTGTCACACAGGCATACACAGTGAATTATCTTCCAGGACAGACGAGACTCCATTAACCACATGGCAGTAAAAAGACATAAAAAAGTCACATTTAACCTATACCCAGATAGCTTAGATCTGAGCGCACATTATTACCAAATAGCGCTCAGATCACATACATACTAATCGCCATGGAGCCAAAGTCTTTAGGTATACAGCTATCTGGGGTAACACTGTTCACATAGAGAAAGTACCGAATGGACGGCGTTCGTATGAATTGCAGGAGAAGGGAGGTCGGCGGCTCAGCAGTGTTCGTGAGTTAAATGTCCGTTTTGAGTTCCACAGTTCTGGAGATTAACACCGCTGGCCATTCGGGAGTTTAAGATGGCCGCTGCCATGTGTTCGTTTGTAAGGACAGCGGCCACCCAGCGTTCACCCATTAGGCTGCGGTTAGCCGCAGCATCTGGGAGGTAAATCACTGGAACACTCCTTGACCAGGTGGTCCCCCTATTCGTGTGTTGGTTCGGAAGATTCAATCTACCGAACGCCCAGGCAGAAACAAGCCTTTCTGCAGAGGAATTTAACAGCGTTTAACATGGGGCCATAGTCCAGAGGGAGCAGACGAGCAACCTGGCTTCTCCAATGCCCAGTGGCGAGGTTGGTTTTGCCACAATACGCTATGTGGATTCCAATGTTATCTTCAACTATTTGCGACTATCAGTTGAATTCTGGACTCTTATTGGACTGATTATTTATCTTTATCTTCAGTAGTGTCAGCAATATTTATTAAGCTCAGTACCATTGATTTATTTAGGTGATTTATTTAAGTGATTTCCTGCCTAGTATTCCACCACTGATCCTTCGTTTGAGGTCACACCTATTTCTACATATATACATATCTACTTCTACTGATTTAGCTCCTGGATACTTACACTCTATGGTGCATTCTTTTAACTGTTTAGTGTATAGTGTCCAAGTATGTTTCTTGCATTTGGCTATATTATGTTACTGTAACAATGCTTTTTTTTTGTCCTTTATTTGCCTAAAAATGTAATAAATCAGGAATCATTAGTATGTTGGGTTATGTTGCTTCCGAAAGTGATCATGTCAGGGAAGTGTTTGTTCTGCTCACTCCAAAAAACAAATTCCCTTTAAAAATGAGAAGTTAGTTTAAAAGTGTTTTTATTAATGTTTGTATTTCTTCAATCTATTAAATGCAATAAGGGCACAATGGTGATTAACATGACAATAAACCTGTGTGAGCTCTCTTATGAGCAACAAGATTTGATTTAAAGCCAAAACATTTTCCACATTCAGAACATGAGAAAGGTTTCTCTCCCGTGTGAGTTCTGTTGTGGCTTACAAGTATTAATTTATGGCTAAAAGATTTACCACATTCCATACATGAAAACGGTTTCTCTCCTGTGTGAGTTCTCTTGTGCTCAACAAGATGTGATTTACAGAGAAAACATTTCCCACATTCTGAACACAAGAACGGTTTCTCTCCTGTGTGCGTTCTCTGATGCCTGTTAAATTCTAATTTACTAACAGAACATTTCCCACATTCAGAACACGAGAAAGGCTTCTCTCCTGTGTGAGTTCTGTTGTGACTTACAAGATATGATTTACGGCTAAAACATTTTCCACATTCCGTACATGAGAACGGTTTCTCTCCTGTGTGAGTTCTCTGGTGGTCTACAAAATGTGATTTACTGCTAAAACATTTTCCACATTCAGAACATGGGAAAGGCTTCTCTCCTGTGTGAGTTCTCTGGTGTTCAACAAGACTTGATTTACTGCTTAAACATTTCCCACATTCAGAACATGGGAAAGGCTTCTCTCCTGTGTGAGTTCTGTTGTGACTTACAAGATGTGATTTACTAACAAAACATTTTCCACATTCCGTACATGAGAACGGTTTCTCTCCTGTGTGAGTTCTCTGGTGTTCAAGCAAATGTGATTTATTGCTAAAACATTTCCCACATTCAGAACATGAGAAAGGTTTCTCTCCTATGTGAGTTTTCTGGTGTTTGTTAAGCACTGGTTTACTAACAAAACATTTCCCACATTCTGAACACGAGAAAGGTTTATTTCCTGTGTGACGTCTCTGGTGTTCAACAAGACTTGATTTACTGCTTAAACATTTCCCACATTCAGAACATGAGAAAGGTTTCTCTCCTGTGTGAGTTCTCTGGTGTATGTTAAGCACTGGTTTACTAACAAAACATTTCCCACATTCTGAACACGAGAAAGGTTTATTTCCTGTGTGACGTCTCTGGTGTTCAACAAGACTTGCTTTACTGCTTAAACATTTCCCACATTCAGAACATGAGAAAGGTTTCTCTCCTGTGTGAGTTATCTGGTGTTTGTTAAGCTCTGATTTACTAACAAAACATTTCCCACATTCAGAACACGAGAAAGGTTTCTCTCCTTTGTGAGTTCTGTTGTGACTTACAAGTTGTGATTTACTGATAAAACATTTTCCACATTCCATACATGAGAACGGTTTCTCTCCTGTGTGAGTTCTCTGGTGTATGTTAAGATCTGATTTACTAACAAAACATTTCCAACATTCTGAACACGAGAAAGGTTTCTCTCCTGTGTGAATTTTCTGGTGATCAACAAGACTTGATTTAGCGCTTAAACATTTCCCACATTCAGAACATGAGAAAGGCTTCTCTCCTGTGTGAGTTCTCTGATGTTTGTTAAGCGCTGATTTACTAACAAAACATTTTCCACATTCCGTACATGAGAACGGTTTCACTCCTGTGTGAGTTCTCTGGTGTTCAGCAAAATGTGATTTATTGCTAAAACATTTCCCACATTCAGAACATGAGAAAGGTTTCTCTCCTGTGTGAGTTCTCTGATGCCTGATAAGCTCTGATTTACTACCAAAACGTTTCCCACATTCTGAACATGAGAAAGGTTTCTCTCCTGTGTGAGTTCTCTGGTGTTTGTTAAGCTCTGATTTACTACCAAAACGTTTCCCACATTCCCTACATGAGAACGGTTTCTCCCCTGTGTGAGTTCTCATGTGCACAACAAGACTTGAGTGATGTTTAAAAAACTTTTCACCTTCAGTACAAGGGAAAAGCTTTGATTTTCTGTTTACTATTTCATTTGTAGACATATATGATTGTAAAAGATTTCTTGAGTTTTTAGAGTTGGAATTTTTGGTTCTTGTATTGAAAGATTTCTTCATAGTCTTGCTTACTGTATTTCTGTTCTTCTCAGGTCCTTCTTGATAACTTTTACTGCTGGAAAAATCTGCAAGAAATGTACTGGGAGTTAAAGAAAATCTGGTGCTGTAAGTTATTTAAGCTTACCATATTTAGGAAAAATAATCAGAACTGTGACTATGAAGTATCTTATTGATTGTGTCAGATATTTATACTGACAGATAAGATAGAAATTAAAAATGTATATTGTAAGTCACCACTTTGCATTTTGTTACAAAATACAGTTACATCTGCTAAGTTCAGGCATTTTTGTTTCTCTCAAATTCTATTCAATGACCAGACAAATGTGGCTTAAGTAAACAATGCAGAGTTCCTTTATTTTTATTTTTCACAAGAATTTATATATGCAACAAGGCGGATAAAGAGGCCAGCCCATACACATCTCTATATCTATATAGTACCCATGTGTGGGGAAAGGGACCTCACCACTTGGCCTCCCAGGATTTCATATTGCTCCTTATTTGCTTGGATGTTAAACTCTCCCTGATATATTGGTTTGGCGAAATACAGCACAAATATCTAACTCTTTACCCAGACTACAAAGCATTCATGTCCACTTTTCCCATAAAAAATATACTAAACGGTATTCAGCAGGTAGGCCGGGTGTACACACCTAAACGACAACCTATGGACGACCCCAGGTTCAGAGCATTATCCAACATGCTAGACAGCAAACCATTTGACTCACAAACCAATTCCATTATTAAAGGAGCCATCTACATTGCCTTTTATGGTTTCTTACTCCCCCTGCAAAATTTACCATAGGTTCCTCAGTGGAGGAACCACAATGTTTGAAATTCAGAGATCTCATTAGAACAGCCGATCTGTAGCGGATGGCATGGAACTGTCCGCCTGGATTATATTGTAAAAGACTGTTTGTGTATTTTAACTACTGTATATTGAAAACTGCATGTATATTCGTGTGCTGGTTCGGTAGTTTCATTCATAGTTCATATGAATGGAAACTACCGAATCCATAGACCACCTCGGAGAGAAGTGTGCACCTCGTTAAACCTTTCTCACTTCTCTAACCGCAGTTAATTGATGTTATATTGCCGTATCTGGGTGGCCGCCATTCGGCAGACGAACGCGTGGCGACGGCCATCTTACGCACAAACTCTCAGCTGTGTTTGGTCGTCGAGTGTCTGGAACTAAAATCAGACACTCAATTGCCTGAACACCGCTGAGACCTCCAGAGCTCATGAACGGAGGGGCCAATTGACTCCTCGTTCGGTGAGTTCAAGCTACCGAACCAAGGGATTTGTGCGAACAATGTATTATCTATGGATGACAGGAATTTATAACTGTTTTATCTTCCGAACGTAGACCGACCGCAAGGCCAAAACGCATGGAACCCTTTTCGGCTACATAGTCGTGTGCAGTCGGTCAAATCGTTTATTTCCCATAACTCCTGAACCCCTGGTCTGATCTGGGTGAATTTTGAGTATGTTGGTCACCCAGATCAGAGCTACCAGGGGATGCCACTTAAGTCCATGTACCCCACAGTTTTGAGGTACATCCAAGAAACAGGGGAAAAAAGGTACCAGCATTAAGTGGATTAAGTGTCACTCTGAGGGGAGGGAAGGTAGGGGAGGGAACCTCTGTATTATTGGTTACTGTCCTAATTACTGGAAATCCCTCCCTTGCATGGGAGAATCCTTTATAAGGAACTGCTGTGAATAAAAGTTTAGTTCTGCTCCTGATGCTGTGTGTTGTCCAGTCATTGGGATTGCGATTGGGATATTGTTGGAGTCTTTCTGCCTGCTGGAATTATTACTCTGTGGATTTATTATACTTGTTCCTGAGCCTTACTGGGATCTAAAGTGGAGATAGGCTGTGTAATACCAGCTCTCCGCTACAAGATCATTACAAGATTATCTTCAAACACAGCAAAACTAACCAAACAGGTCCGGCAATAGAAATTCCATTTTACCTAGCAGTAAACAAATGGTACAATGTATCAGTCCTAAACGAATATAGGTGGAATTTACAGCTTATTCATGCAATAATTTCTTACCTAGAGAACGGAGAGTCTAGTAATTCTTGTTAGAACCCTGTAAAGCTTCTGCTCTTCTTGATGTAAACAGTCCCACTCGTCCTCGGAGAAGTAAACAACCACTTCCTTAACTGGAATTGTTCCTAAGTAATACATTATTTACACTGTTAGAAACAATCTATAAATGGTCAATGCAAGTGAAATGATTATCTGGACATTAATTTAGTTTCTACAAATTAGATCAACAGAAAGAAAAAAAAAAACACTATCAGGACAAATTGAATTTTGCTCATGGTTTAATTCCTTTCGTTCAAATTTAATATGCTTAATTTTAAATTAAACGAAATTCAAACGGATTTCATAAAAAAAAAAAAAAATATATATATTTATATATTTATTGAGATGCTTTGCTTAAAGGAAATCTATAGTGTCCCCCACTGCCCCAATCAGTTACTAAACGGTTAATAACCCTTTTGTCTCTAAGATGATTACAGCACCAATCTCCCTCGGCGCTGGGTCCATGTTTCCCCTCTCCTCCTCTCTCTCCCTCCGTCCGTGCCCCCCCCTCTCCTCTCTCTGTGTCCCCCCTCTCTTTCTCCATGTTCCCCCCTCTCCCCCACCATGCCCGCCCCCTCTCCTTCTCCCCCTCTCCATGCCCCCCTCTCCTTTCTCTCCATGCCCCCCCTCTCCTTATCTCCCTCTCCATGTCTCTGTGGCGAAAGTAACCTCGCCAATAGTTTTTGGAGTGGCCTGTTTGCCAGCTTCCTGCCCTGCGACTATGGCCCTGGGATGTATTGCCCTTCTAGGAACTGATGTGGGCATACTTGAGGCTTATATTGCTGTTCCTAGCCCTTTAATGCCCAAAGTAAGGATATTGTACTTTTAAACTGGCACTTCGGATTCAGTCGAAGTCGTAGTCGTCGAAGTGGCCACCATTTGAATACCGAACACGTGGCGGCGGACTTTTTAACTAATTCGAACGCGGTCAGCGGTGTGTGCAGTCAAATCTATGGAACAGTTTTCGGCTACCCAATTGCATGAACACCGCTGACCCACACGTTCTACTCTACTTCGACACTGCGGCTGGAGACTAAGTCCCGTTCGAAGATTCGAACACTCGTCATTTTCTCGGTGTAAAATAGACCGATCGCACAGCCCAAATCCATGGAACTGTTTTGGGCTTGCGGTCAGTCAAAAGTGACTTATATGTATCTCCCGAACGGCTGAACGGATTCAAATGATTTTTGGGTATGTTTGTATTTGGAATGTGCTGATTAATAATATTGTATGTATAGCTTTAGAGTTATGAAGGTTGGGTAAAAAGTAGGTTTTAAACTGTACGGATAATTGGGTTACCTCTCAGGCTAAGGGGAGGAGATGTGTGGGATGTAACAATTATGTGATTGGGTATTGTATAATTGCCTGTGGGCGTCTCTCTTGCAGGGGAGAATTGCATAAAATCAGAGTGTGTGTGTCATTAAACCACAGTTGTTCTTCACCCTCAATCTGGAGTCTTGTCTCTTATTGGGCGAATTACTATATCACTGCAAGGGATTGCTATGCTCTGCATTCTCCCTTAGCTAATCACTAAGCTCTTTTAAGAGCTTGTTCCTGCTTCACTCTCTTGGAGGAAAGATTAACCCACTGGAACCTGGAGCATTGTCTTAGGTCCCGGGTGGGTAGGAGACGGCGAGACCCCAACCAAGC